ATATTTATTTGATACTAATGTCATCGAAAAAAAATATATTAGCCTGAAAAATATTTATGCGCTTATTTTTTTATTTAGAAACTTTTACTGTTGTTCGGATGCATGAAATTTGGCAAATGAAGAAAGATGCATCACATGTTACTCATAAAATTCAATTTTTCATGCATGAAGAAATCAATTGTTCTTCTTGTAAAACAGCAGGACTGACTAATTTTATCTTATATGATATACCAAGATTTCTTATATTTAAAACTGAAAGCATTAATACAGATTGTATTACTTTAATTGATGATATAAATCAACTTCGCATTCGACCACTTGATACAAATTTACCATTCGATTATCATTTACAGAGAGTACTAATTGTTCCTGAAGAAGATGACATTGTTTATCTAAGAAAAACAACGAATGGGTATACTTCTTTTAATAAAACTACTGGTCAATTTGTACAATTACGTGATTTATCAACATATCAAACAGGACTAACTTCGCGCTGGATAATATTCGTTTATCAAACCGTTGAAATTGTCTTCTATCCGGCGCTAATGGAGAAATCACTTTGGATCAAAGTACTTTAGCCGAAAAAATGCAACCCGATAAATTGGCAATCAATGCTGTGCAAGATCTTTTACCAACGTTCACTGATATTTTAAAAATCGGCTTAGTACAACTAAAAAATGACATTAAAACATTGTTAGACAATGATGCTGACATAAATGATTTGATTATTAATGTCCATTTATTAATTACAGCATCGACAGCACCGTTTCATAAACATGTGTTGGTTGTCGAAAGTCACACAGTATCAAACATAATTGAGAATAAACTAAAATACGTCAGAACATCTTGGCTTGATTATGATATTATTCTCTGTCCAATAAATCAGAAACACGATTGGTATTTAATGATAATTGATCTTGAACGAAATTTATTTATACAATTCGACTCATTGCCTGCACATGATATCCCACGCATACAAAATCTAGAACGCCTTATTCATATTTTGAATACACAACATTATTTGAAGCACGACACTAACATAGATTTTCGCACAGCCTGGACATTATCGGATCCGGGTGAAGATTTCGATTTATATCAAAATAATGTGCATTTATGTGGCGCCCATCTTCTGATACAAGCAAAAGCATACACAAATCGTGAACGGTATTAACCGATCCCCCAAGATAAAATCAACTTATACAGACATCAGATAGCAGAAGACATACTTCGAAAAGCCGAATCAAAACCGGACGATAGCATATCAGATGTAATTAAGTCAGCCATACGTCAAAAATTGAACAAAATTGAACATACTCTTTTCCACATATCAGATATTTACACGCCAAGTTCGAGAACGCGACGCAAAATCAGCGCAGCGAGAACAGCAACCAAATTGAAGTGCCATAAATAAACAATAAAAATATATCATTTTCGAAAACACGTAATAGGCTGCTTAACAAAAATAAAACCTGACAAAGAATCGCCAAAATAATATAAACCCTCCACGATTCACATAGCTCCAATATAATGGAGCCAGCAACAAAAATATAATCATTTACTGATAATAAAAAAATTAGAAAACAAAAAACACATTCTGTAACATTCATGAGTGAACGCAAAAAACACACTATAATGACTCTCACTTAACATTCAACATAGCCTGTCGTTTCCACAAAATCATCAGCACAGGCCGTTTTTGCAAAGACTTTTTTTCATACGTTAGATATTAGCAGGGCTGCTTTGAGGGATGTCGAAATGGAATGTTGGTGAATTTGATTCATCAATTGATAGAGGAATGAATTCTCTATTCGATGGATGACAGCTTAGTTACGGGCAATGGAAAGTATTATCTCTACACGTGAGTCTTTTGGAAGGAACCGCGTTTTCATGGACGCTAGTTTTCGGCGAGAGGTTTTCAGGTGAGTGTAGTTCGTGGGTGCGTAAGTGAAATGTGGTAGAAATGAATTTTGTTGAGGATGATGAAGAGATCGATGTCGAGCAATGATTTGTATGTTGGGAATTGAGGAATTTATGGGTGGATATGCATTGTTTTTTGTGCGTATGGTGTTTGGAAATGTTTTTCGGTGAATGCGGGTGGGATTACGGGTGAATTTGGTTGGAAGAATTACTTTTGAACGAAATAAAGTTTTGAAATATTCCGTTGGTAAGGTGGTTTGTATGATGTTTCATGGATTTTTAATGATAAATAATGCTCGATTCCTGATTAGTTTATTATGTATACGTTTCGGATTGGTCGTCGTGCTAGCTTCACATCGATTGATTAGATATTAGGATTTTAGCTGACAATATGAATCTAGAACTAACAGCTGCATACTCTTGAGGATTTTCAATAGTTTCCAATTGATCGCTTTAAATAGATATGGGTAAGGAAAAAATTCGACGCAAAATAATGAGTTAACGTCAAGGGAATTTTCTTGGCTGCTATACTACGTACAAATCTTCACTAATATGAAACTGAAATCCACATAAATAAGTAATATTATAGAATTAAAACCAGAGGATAACTATAGATTGAAGTATTAGAGTGACAATGGGGTATATTTAAGAGATATTCTAAGAGGTTAGATCAAGACATCATTGTGAAAGGATAGATATTGAATAAGGGCATAGAAAAAGGGACAGATAGATTAAGGGGTTAGAATAAGACCATAGGATTAAAAGATCGATATATATTAAGGGATTAGATATAGAGTAAGGAAATAGATTAAAGGAATAGATTAAGGGATTAGATATAGAGTAAGGGAATAGATTAAAGGAATAGATTAAGGGATTAGATATAAAGTAAGGGAATAGATTAAAGGAATAGATTAAAGGATTAGATATAAAGTAAGGGAATAGATTAAGATTTTGAAATGAGAAGATAGATACAGTTTCGGGATTTCAATGAGTTGATGGAATATTGAGTTTGAATACGACGTCAGATATAAATTCATGAACCATTTTAGGGTAGTAGCTGGTAGACTATCTCATAGTTTTGAACTCTCGGAAACCTGTACTGTGCTTCTGGAATCAGTCTTTTTTCGGTTAATTATAAGGGTTTTCGAGAGCTCAGAAGCCCTTTCCCACAATAAACTATACTATTAGTATTTCTGATATTTCTCCTCTTTTTGTCAATGAGAAAAGAAAAGCTTTTTATGAAAAAGAAGCGCTTTAAATTCTTCACAACACAGTATATTTCATTTAATGAATATAGCTTCCTCCATTTTCTATTATTGTAGGTAATCTTATAGTAAAATCCAGTATGGAATTTAAAGTTGTTTTTTTTTGTCAATTTTTGCTACGGAACGTTTTAAGTCTTTAATCAACGTTGGTTTTGTTGTTATTCGATTCCAATTCATATATTGAACCAAATCGTTCCATAAACTGTGATCCAAGGGGCATAAGTCAGATGAATTGGGTGGCCAACGCTTCTTGTAGATGAAGTCAGGAAAATTCTCGGCACGCCATTCTTGAGTGAGACGATGTGTGTAAGGTCTAGCACCACCCTGTTGATAAGTCCAATCGCTCGCTAACATTCTATCACCACATTCGAGAGCTATATGATATGAAGTACTTTATCGATGTAAACCTCTGCATCCATCGTTCCATTTGCCAAAATGACTGGTGTAGTTAGACCATCAGCATATGCGCCCAATCACACCATCACTTTTTCAGGATATTTGGTCTTCTCATGAAAGTCACTTTTTCTATCAGCTTCTTCTCTGCTGACAGCCCACATCCTATCGTTGTGTGAATTGTATATGCCGTCAAGGTAAAAGAAATTTTCATCTGTGAAAAGCCACTTTTTAGTGTCGTCTTTGCTGTAGTTATTTAACACCCAATTATCAAACTTAATCCTCCTAGTTTTTTGAATATTAGTTAGCTTAGGTTGTTTTGTCTTTTTGTACGGCTTACACCCAAGATCTTTTTGGAGTATTCGCTGTACACTCGTTCTAGAAATTTTCATATCTTTAGCAAATTTTCGTATAGACACTCGTTTCTTTTGATTTAGATGGTTTTTAGCCTTCACAATAGCGACATTTGTACGGACAGTGCGTAGAAAACCTGGATGGGACGACAATGCGATAGAACTAGTAGTGTTGATCATTTTTATCCCCAATTTAATTGTGGGTAATGAAACAGCCTCGGCTAAATCTCGAAAAAGTTTTGTCGGACCACCACCATTTTCATATTTTGTTTTTACAACTTTTTGTATATCTTTCCTTTTCATATTTTTTAAAATGAAAGTGAAACACTTCAGTTTTAAGCATAATACGGTTTTGTAGAGAATTTCAAGCGCCATCTTTAGTTTAAAAAGATGTCCCAATCTAATGGGTAATGGAAGAGTTATATTCAAAATACGAATGGCATAATTTATTCTGGGCCACCCGTCATGTATACATGATTGATGAAAGAGAAAAAGAAAAGAAAAAGAGAAGAGAGGAGAATTAACGTTAAATTTCTGTCTGTGATCCGAATAAAAAACTCGTTGTAGTATGCCAAACACACCCTTTAATTATGACACCTACTGCTATCTCTGAATTTCCACTCGAAATACTTATATATGTATCTGAGGTCAAATAACTTATTTGTGATCTCTGGATCATTTCGAATAGTTAAAAAGATGTAAGCTACCTGATGAGTCCCTTCAGCAAGGACGAAACCGGTCGTAGTATGCTAAAACACACACACCCTGATTTACCTATTTAGTTTCATTTGTTTATAAATAATAACAATTTAACATTCAATAGGTGTGCCAAGAAGTGCATCTCTCATGTAGGACTAGATGAAATAGGTGGTTACAGAAGCAGCAGGATGTCCAATTATAAGCCATAGAGCTGATGAACATATCGTAGTGACGTAATTAAGTTTACATCACTAATATACATCATTGTATATGACAACACATATCGTGTACTGAATAGTACGTAATCTTTCTGTGCATCTTCTCCCTCTCTCTCTCTCTCTCTCTGTATCTCCTTCTCGCTCAATACATTTTCTCTCTATGCATCTTCTCTTTCGCTCTCTCCCCTATTTATATTTTTCTTATTCTCTCTTTCTCTAAAAAAAACCGCTTCCTACAAAACCCAAACCGATTCGGAAACCCTCTCGGAAACCTGAAACCGTTTCCGAGAGGGTTTCTGCAAACTTGAAGCGTTTTCAAAAATACGCTTTTGGTTACCGAGACCTCAAAAAGCCTCAGGGTTCCTACAATACCGATTTCGATGTCCTGAAGGTATTCTTTAAAACCTTTTCTTGCTGCTTGAAACCAAACCATATTCTCAGAAGCCCTTAGGGTATTCTAGGAAACTAATATTGCCAGAAAAACTGACTTGGTACCCGAATGGGTATGCGACAATACCTTTTTGGTTTCCGAACTCGTTATTTGCAAACCCTTTTGGTTTCCAAGTCTACTGAATGACCAAAAAATATTCTGGAAAACCAAAATTGGTTTCCGTTTTTTTTTCAATTTGTAAAAGATTTTCATCCTTCTAAAAATGTTGAATATTTCAGAAAACAGAACATGATCCAAGTTCAAAATATCTCAGAAGGACATTTTCTCCGATCAACCTGGACCGATCCACATTCCACGGGCTACAGAGTTCGACAGTTTATTTCAACTCTGTTCTCAATTCTGATGAAAGTTTAAAATATGTTATCGACGCCCAGGAATCGGAATCCGTCATCATTCTTTTGATTCTAGCTTCCATCGATCAGAAATTGGACTGATCGGAGATCAGACTTGTTATCCTTATATTGAAATTTTTTTCTCAGGATTCGGGTATAGATTGGCTCAGTATATATTATCATCTCATAATCTGGTAATATTTTTCTGCGCCAGAGGAGTTTAACAATTGTAGATGATGTGGGCATTGATGGTTTGATTTTTTTTAGATTTAAAATTTGGCTGAAATTTCTATTGCTATTGAGGGACAAAATTTATATAATGGTCCTATCGGTATCCGTATCTACAGAAAATACGTCTGCGTTGTGCATTCGTGGGTTCATTGAGTCGAGTGTCGATGGCTATTTGTTTTGTTTCAGTTCATATCGATTATTAGATGAGTAAATGTTAATGGTGAGTTCGATTTTAAAAGTTAAAATGTAATGAAATACTTTATTTTTATTTAGATCCAACACAGGATTAGCAAATAATAATTGTGTGTTCGATTTTAATAGTTAAAGCTGATGAAATATGTTATTTCTTTTTAGATCCAACATCCCACGTCGGTCGCTCTTTTCACCGGATCCTGGGGACACTGCCAGTAAGGATGCCTGAAAACCACTGTGTCCTGTAGGAAAACAGATGATATCATTAAAACACGGCAGCAGTGTTCCGGTCTCAAACTTTCTAGATTCGTTTCGATGATTTCCCAATCAGCTTGCTGTGTTTTTCGGCAAGATGCACCCGAAACCATGAGAAAAAACTTGGAAAGCTTTACGGGCGGGATACTGTTTCCATGTTCCAGCGATATCGTTTGTTTGCATACAGGATACCGTGGCTTTCAGGCGGTTTTTCTGTCGGTTTCTGCAGCATCCAGTGGGCTGAACGATCAACGCAGGCTATGACAATCTGGTGGTTCTCGATGCGGAACGAGATGAATAAAATCTCGGAAACCTCTAATTCGTTTCCGACATTGGTATCCGAGGTCTCAGAAACCGTGTCTGAAAAACCCTTAAAAGGTTTCCGACTTTGTTACTATCGGAAACCTATTTTGAGTTTCCGAGAATACCATTCATTTTTAGAGAGCTCCCCTACATGCCTTCCTTATTCTCTCTCAGATGTATAAGCTCGCGAGATATATCAAATATAGGTTCAGTTTGAGTTAGTTGTTAGTTCTGAGTTGATCGTGAAAAAAGTTGATCAGAAATAGTCAGTAGTACAACGTAGTTGGAAGATAGGTAAGCTTCACTTGCATTGTGAAACGTACACTTAGAATTAGTGCGTGTACAAAGAATCTTATTGTGCGTATTTATTGTGTGTAACATATACATATATTATTATCCGCGTTATTGCTGTAGAATTTACTATAAACTCATTATTAAATAAATTATTACTAATTAGTATTATTCAAATATTATTGGTAGTACCACTTACAAGCTTCGATACTTTTGATATCGATTATTAATCTCGGTATTTACGTAATTCTACATATCTGGATACTCCTCACTATCCATTCGAAATAATATTTCAAATATTTCGTTATACCATGCATTTCCAGATTCCGAAGATACCTGATGAGCGCCTTAAGCCAGATCAAAGTGTACTGTTCTGCTTCGAGTCTATATTCATTTGAGTGTTTAACAGGGTGTGGGTGTGGGGTATGGGTGTGGGTGCGAGTATGGATGAAAGGAACATCCACCCACCCACCCACCAACCCCACACCCATACCACCCGAAGCATAAGTTAAAACACGTTGTACAATGTTTTGAATAATCAGTAACGAAGCACCGACAACATCTACCTACTTTGTGGGAGAAAACGAAAGAATGTTGTGTATTTTTTTTTAATAATCTTACCCACAGCTATTATTGTTGCTTTTCTACCTTTCTATTTTCCACACTCCTATTTCATAGCATTTCGT